CATGAATATGTGGTAAGGGCATACCCACATGATTGCAGAAGAGTTCAAAAGAACTCTTAAGATGACAAAGAATTTAAACTTTAAGTAGACTATTTAAGTAAAGGAGAAACATATGTTCAAAACACTAAGAAAGAAAGATGACTTTGGTTTAACTACAATGATGAAACCAGTGAACTCTTTCACTTGCAACCAAGCCAGAAAGGGAAACAGAAGACCCATGAGACTACTATATAAACCACCAGGGCCAACTACTTTATTTTTAATAGTGTTCTCAGATCAAATTCAAAGGATTGAGGCATTAATTACTCACCTCCCACCTGGTTGTTCTAAAATGTGCACATAATTTCTCTCACAATTTTGAAGTGATACTAATGATTATACTTCCATTTGCTGACTAACCTGTCCAAAACAGATATCACTTGGAGGCAAGCCCATTTATTGCCTTCATGTTCATTTGTCATTTTATTTATTTGTTTTGTTTTTTGTTTTTTTGTGGCTGGCTAGTATGGTTCATTTGTCATCTTAAAACAAAGCAAGTCAATATCTTGTGAACTAGTACTCAACTGTTCCCGCTACCTACAGTTTTTTAGGGGAAGAATCAGTCAGACAGGTAAATAATTTCTTGTATTATCATACTTACATATAAGGAAATGCCAATTAGCTTTACAAGCCTAAGACAGATATAATATCCCTTGTCCATCTTGATTTTGGCAAAATCACATCATTTAATAAATAAATGAGGCATACCCTAAGATCAATGACTCTGTTGTCTAATCTTGTATCCTGGTTGACAGTAGCTCTTCCTTCCTTAAAAAAAANAAAAAAAATGAAAAAACAGATTTTTAAATTTTTTGAAGAGCACGAAAAGCATTTTTAGAAGCCATGTTTACTTTTAAGTGAGACTGGGTGTGTGTATCTTAATATTATGCACAAAAATCAAAGATCCAAATAATGGTAGAAACAAGAAGTGGTGCCAGAGAGAAGTTAGTGTTAAAAGAGAAAAAGAGACAGAAAGAAGAAATGAGAATGAATAGATGTTAATACTTTCTTTCCCTAAAAGCCTTGCCTTATTATTGAGACATCAGAAGAATTAACCACTTGCACCTTCATTAGTTCCTGGATTTAACCTGATAGCCCCAGGTTAAAGGAACAGATTAAAGCTGACATAGCGTACTGGTTCTCAAAATATGGTCTAGGGATCACTGAAGGTCCTGAGACTCATTCAGGGAGTCCATTAAGTCAATATATTTCATAATAATACTTTTTCACTCTCATTCTTCATGAGTGTACTGTGAAGTTTTCCAAAGGCTATATAATGTGTACTATCACAATAGAATAAATGTAGAGGCAATATGAGAATCTAGTTGTTGTCTATTAAGCCAGACATTACAAAGATTTGTAGATATGTAATGCAGTGTCACTCTTGACACTAAATTATTTTTTGCTTTTGAAAATAGTTATTTTTCATAAAATGTTATTTAGTTATTTTTATTATTTATATAGGAATAATATATACAAACATGTTTTTATTTTTTTAATAAAGTAAAAAATATTTTTGAATTTCTGTTTTAACTTCTAAGACTATAAATATTCATAGATATACGAACAAAAACAACAGCTTGCGGGGTCCTCAATTATTTTTAAGAGTGTAAAAGGGATCTTGAGACCAAAAAGTTTTTAAGAATTGCTGATATATGAATAAATTTTAATAAAAATGGAGCTCAAATCAGTTCATAGGCACTCTTAATACAAAAGCAGGGCATCAGGTTTTCAATGTTTTGCAAACTAAACATATAGAGGAAGCATAATTTCATAAGTATAATTTTTTACCTCTTCTTCTACCTCAGGTCGAATAGCATCATCCAGCTGCAGGGGCAGGCGGGGTTCAGCCAAACTGATCACATAAATCTGAAAGTGAGAGATGGCCAAAAATAGCAGGAAGCACACAAACCTGGTATCTTTTGCTTAAAACCATCTACAGTTGACTTAAACATGAAGCAATGTTTGCATACACCTTAAACAGAAACTACTTGCTGTAATCAAACAAAATGACACACATTTTTCACCTATAAAATGGGGATAATATTTTTTGCCAACC